CTTTCAAGTTCTATGAAGGATTATGCTGGGATTTTGATGGGGATTACATTGAATCTGTAGATTGTTTTTGGCAAGATTTCCATTTTTATTTTATTTTATTACCTATCCAAGAGCATAGGAGATCTTTCCACTTTCTGATATCTTCTTCAATTTCTTTCTTCAAAGACTTAAAGTTCTTGTCATACAGATCTTTCATTTGTTTGGTTAGAGTTACTCCAAGATAGTTTATTTTTTTTGTGTGTGTGGCTATTGTGAAGGGTCATGTTTTTCTAATTTATTTCCTAGCCCATTTATCATCTGTGTAAAGGAAGGTTACTGAATTTTTTTTAGTTAATCTTGGTTTTTTTTTGCATTTTATCTTTGTGTCATTTTTTTATTATTTATTTATTTATTAAAGATTTCTGTCTCTTCCCCGCCACCGCCTCCCATTTCCCTCCCCCTCCCCTAACCAAATCCCCCTCCCTCGTCAGCCCAAAGAGCAATCAGGGTTCCCTGCCCTGTGGAAGTCCAAGGACCACCCACCTCCATCCAGGTCTAGTAAGGTGAGCATCCAAACTGCCTAGGTTCCCACAAAGCCAGTACGTGCACTAGGATCAAAAACCCATTGCCATTGTTCTTGAGTTCTCAGTAGTCCTCATTGTCTGCTATGTTCAGCGAGTCCGGTTTTATCCCAGGCTTTTTCAGACCCAGGCTAGCTGGCCTTGGTGAGTTCCTGATAGAACATCCCCATTGTCTCAGTGTGTGGGTGCACCCCTCGCGGTCCTGAGTTCCTTGCTCGTGCTCCCTCTCCTTCTGCTCCTGATTTGGACCTTGAGATTTCTGTCCTGTGCTCCGATGTGGGTCTCTGTCTCTGTCTCCTTTCATCACCTGATGAAGGTTAATATTCAGGAGGATGCCTATATGTTTTTCTTTCGGTTCTCCTTATTAAGCTTCTCTAGGATCATGAATTATAGGCTCAATGTCCTTTATTTATGGCTAGAAACCAAATATGAGTGAGTACATCCCATGTTCCTCTTTTTGGGTCTGGCTTACCTCACTCAGGATAGTGTTTTTTATTTCCATCCATTCTTCCATTGAAGGGCATCTAGGTTGTTTCCAGGTTCTGGCTATTACAAACAATGCTGCTATGAACATAGTAGAGCATATACTTTTGTTGTATGATAAGGCCTCTCTTAGGTATATGTTTTGTAAGCTTTTTGTATCTTCATATGCATATCTTTGTTTAGGTTGGGTGAGTTTTCTTCTATGATTTTGTTGAATATGTTTTCTTTGTTTTTGAGTTGGACTTCTCCTTCTTCTTTCCCTATTATTCTTAGGTTTGGTCTTTTCATGGTGTCCCATATTTCTTGGACATTTTGGGTTAAGCTTTTGTTCGATTTAATGTTTTATTTTCTCAAACATTCTCCTAAAGTTATTTTTAGGTCATTTCTTCTGCTTCATCTATATTTGAATGTCCAAATCTTGCTGTTGTAGTTTTTGTTGATATCATGTTGCTCTTTGTTGTGTTGAGTGTGTTGGAGGATTGTTGAAGGTTTGGGGAGGCTGCTCCCAGGTCTTTGGGGCTTTGGTGGGTGAGGTGGGGCACAGAATATGCCTCTGGGCAGTAGGGTCTAAAGAGCAGGGCCCTCCAGCTTGAAATTGAGACACCTCTCCAGGTACAGTCAGGGCCAAGGCTCTGGTGCTCAAAGTTGCAGTGGGGGATGGTTGGGAGTGTGGGAAGGCTGATCCCAGGTCTTTGGGGCTTTGGTGGGTGGGGAGGAGGTGGGGTGTGGATGTGCCTCTAGTGGATAGGACCTAGGTAACAAGGGCCTCCAGTTTGGAACCCAGATACTCACCTCTCCAGGTGCAGTAAGGGCCAGGGCTCTGGTGGTCACTGATGCAGTGGGGGATTGCTGGGTGTTGAGGAGGCTGTTCCCAGGTCTCTGGGGCTTCGCTGGTTGGGGGTGGGGCATGGGATGTGCCTCTGGGGGTTAGAGCCTAGAAAACAGGGCCCTCCAGTTTGGCACACAGATACTTTCCTCTCCAGTTGCTGTCAGGTGTATGGGAAGGCCTTTCCTAGGTCTCTAGGGCTTCGCTGGTTGGGGGTGGGGCATGGGATGTGCCTCTGGGGGTTAAAGCCTAGAAAACAGGGCCCTCCAGTTTGGCACACAGATACTTTCCTCTCCAGTTGCTGTCAGGTGTATGGGAAGGCCTTTCCTAGGTCTCTAGGGCTTTGCTGGTTGGGGGTGGGGCATGGGATGTGCCTCTGGGGGTTAGAGCCTAGAAAACAGGGCCCTCCAGTTTGGCACACAGATACTTTCCTCTCCAGTTGCTGTCAGGTGTATGGGAAGGCCTTTCCTAGGTCTCTAGGGCTTTGCTGGTTGGGGGTGGGGCATGGGATGTGCCTCTGGGGGTTAGAGCCTAGAAAACAGGGCCCTCCAGTTTGGAACACAGATACTTTCCTCTCCAGGTGCTGTTAGGGCCAGGGCTCTGGTGGCCACAGATGCCCCAGTGTACTGTTTTCATATGTGATATCTGTATCAGGCTTAGGACTACTTTCTGAGGCTGGGGGTTGGAGAAGTGTGCTTTGTTCTCCTGTCCTATAGACCCTGGCTAGTTAGGGTGAGCTGAGAGATAGGAGTGTGGGTAATGAGGCCCAGGTGATGAACCAGGTGCTCTGAGCTGAGATAAGAAAGCAGGGGCTTGAGCCTTGTGGTGGTAACTGAGGGACTGCTTAATTCTGTTCATTTATTTATTTAGAGTTTTAAATTAATTAATTTATTTAGTCTATGTGTCTTTTACATCATGTAGCTAGATCCCCTTCTTTCCCCTCATTCCTTCTTATTTACCCTACACCCCTGCACACCCCCAACATTAAAGAAAGTTTAAGAGAAAAAAAGAAAAAAAAAGAAAAGAAAAAAGGGAAAACCTTAAAAATCTCATTATGGAAGCTGCAGTATGACACAGTGAGTCACACTGTACACCTTTTTGTCTATTTGTCTTTACTTGGAGGTGTTCATTTCAAAAGAGTTATTGGTTTGACTCAAGGCCTTTGGTTTCTACTACCCTATCGATGTTGGGCCCTTGCTAGAGCTCGTGTTGTGGAGACCCTGCAGATTTGGGTCTGCAGGTGAGGCCCCTTCATGTTCTCCAGCAGATCCTAGATGGGGTGGATGGTGGGGAAGACCAAGTCATGTCCTTGGGTCTGGGCCTAAGCAGCTGTAGGGTTTGTCTGCCAGGTGTGAAATGGGGACAACTCTCCCAGGGTCACAGTCTTGGGGCTGGCGCACCCACACCTGCACTAACAGGGTTGGCTCTAGTGTGCTGCCCTGGCAAGGGGTGGGACCTGCTCTTGTAAGTGTTACAGCTGGCGGGGGGTCAGGGGTGGCTCTCCCACTCTTATGACAACAGGGACAGCTCTCCCACCTGCCCCATACATTGACAGGAGGGTAGGGGAAGAGGGCAACTCTCTCCTGCCCATGTTGCCACAAGATAGATGGGTAATCGGGACAGATCTCCCATGCTCACAACTTCAGGGCTGGCTCCCCACACCTGCAATGGCAGGATTGGCTCTAGTGTGTTGTCTTGGCTAGGGGCAGGGCCTGTTCTCCCGAGTGTTGCACCTGGTGGGGGTCAAGAATAGCCCTCCCACTCTCATGACTACAGAGCCAGCTCTGCCACCTGCCTCAGCCATTGATGGGTAGGCAAGAGGACATCATTCCCTTGTCCATGTCCCCACAAGACAGATGGGTAATAAGGACAGTTCTCCCATGCTCACAGTTTCAGGGCTGGTTCATCCACCTCTGCATGCACACGGTTGGCTGTATTTCATTTTGCCCTGGTGAGGTACAGGGTCTGCTCTCCCAAGTGTTGGAGGCGGTGAGGGTCAGGGATGGGTCTCTCACACTTATGACCATAGGGCCTGCTCTCCCACCTACCTCAGGCGTTGAAAGGCAGGGATGCCTCATTGCCCTGCCCATGCTGCTACAAGACAGCTGAGAACTGGGGACATCTCTCCCATACTCTCAACTTCGGGGCTGGCTTTCTCACACCTCTGCTAATGGGGTTGGCTCTATTGTGCTGCTCCAGCATAGTGCAGGGCGGGTCCTCCTGGGTGTTGCTGCTGGTGGTGTCAGGGTTAGCCCTCCCACTCTTAGGACCACAAGGTCAACTCTCCCACCTGCCACAGGCCATGTTGCCACAGGACAAATGAGAAATGGGGAGAGCTCTCCCATGCTCTCAACTTCGGGGCTGGATTGCTCATATCTGAGTTAAACAGGGATGGCTCTCTTGTGCTGTCCCGACAAGGGCCAGGGCCTGCTCTCCCGGGTGTTGCAGCTGGTGAGGGTCAAGGACAGTTCTCCTGCTCTTAAAGCCACAGGGTCAACTCTCCCACCTGCCCAGACATTGATGCCTCATCCATACCTGCACTAACAGGCTTGGCTCTGTTGCGCTGCCCTGGGAGGGTGCAGGTTTTTTTTTTTTTTAATTAATCCCACTTGCAAAGCTGGATACATGGCTAAGAGAACTTGTTGCTCTTATAGAACACCTGAGTGTGATGTCCTGTACCCACATGTCAACTTATACCTGTTCATACCTCCAGTTCTGGTGCATGCGATGTACTCTTCTGACCTCTGAGGACACCAGGCATGCATGCGTGCGCGCGCGTGCGCGCGTGCGCGCACACACACACACACACACACACACACACACTGAACAAACATGTAGGTATCTGGCCCCATTCATGTTTCCTCTCTACTCACCCCATTTCACTTTGAAATTTTCTTTATTCATTGAGCACAAAACAATGTGCCTCTCCCGACACTGTACTACTGTGTAATTTTTCATTTTTATCTTAAAATATGGTGCACGAGAGTGCAGTTGCCCATGGAGGGAATTGGACACAGTGAGTTGCTTATTCTGTCTCCACAAAAGAGGAGGGATGGGAATGTCACGTGGCCCCCTTTGTTCTCAACGAGCACAATATAGGAACCAGATGCACACATCAAATTAGGCTTTATTTCGAATATTTCAGAAGAATACACCAAGGACAGATTAACAGCACCTATTTAAGAAACACAAACATTTAATAATAGTTAAATCACAAATGTTAATCTCACTGCATTCCCCAAGCAGGAGTCTGTTATTCTTGTCCAGTGATAAATGCATCATAACCAGTTTAGAAAGCATTCAATTAAAACCATCCAATCTATGAAACCTTGACTTTGGGCAGAGTCTCTGAGACTACTGGCCCATGGAACAATATCAATTCATAAATTTGATTGGAGTGTGAGGGGATTTCTCTTCTTGCTGAAAAGTGGAAAATAAATTCCACCCCATTTGTGCACCTGAAGGTAAGTTGTGCCAGTGGGAACTTGGTCCCAGGACTGTAGTTTTGAAAATCCTTTGAAAAGGCACTTTTAAATTACAAACCCCTTTTAAAGGAAACTTTTAAATTTAAAGTGGAAAGTATTAAAGAGAATTGTTTTATTGACTGAGTGCAATTTTCCTATTGTTCTCAGTCTCAAAATAGCACATGAAATTTGGTATTAAAGGCAGTTTTAGAAACGATTTAATGAGTGTATATATATATACATATATATATATATCCTCTTGTAATACTTTTGTTCTCAAAATATAATAAAATACTATTATTTCTTTTGTAAATATATTTGATCTACAACTGTAACTCTTCAAACACCTGAGCTGCAATCCCTGTCCCCACCCCGAGAAATCTCACTGTCTCTTTACCAATACTGTATCAGGTCTGAGACAGCCAAAGTGGGTAAAAACAGAGCAGTCCTTTTCTGGGTTTTGGCACTTATCTAGGAGGGCAGGGATGGTCACAATATAGATCAGTTAAGTACAAGTCCAATAACTTCCAATCAGGAACTGGTTCCTGTTTCAGTCTTGAAACTGCAGTGTTCTTCTCATCTGCTCTCAGGACTCCAATAGCCTGTCCTGGGGTTCTTGCTCTTTTATGGGGAAAGGACTGTCTTCTTTGACTTTGTATTCTATTATTCTATACACTGAAGCAAACAGGTATACCCGTGCCAGGTGTATTGTGGAGAACTGCCAGCATGGACTTCAGCCAAGATGATAATTTAATTCACATCAATTACCGCTTGTACCAAAATAAGTTCCTGCTTGTCACGTACCAGGGATTTAAGGAACGAAGAGGCACCTCTTCCTGCTGCACCGTCTTGGAGCCGTCTTCCATATCCTGTAGTATACACTTTCAAAGGTAAAAGAATGTACTATGTTCTACTTCAAAAGTTGTGGCTAGCGTAGTGCATGCATTTTGTTAACTAACTTCACACGGACACATCACTCACTTTTCACTAATAACACTAGCTAAGAACACATACAACCTACTATCTAGCACCTCAACTCCAAGAGCACATTTTATTTACAGTTAGAGCTTACATCTAGAAGAAGTACCACAAAAGAACACAGCATTAACACAAGACAAAAGTACTGATTTTTCACAAAATTGTAACAAACGAAGAGGGGAAATCCACTCAAGTTTGAAGCATCAAACCAAAACCATTTTTGTTTTTGTCTCCTTAAGAGCAAAAGAAATACAGCAATTAATCTTCACACAGCAAACCTCCTTACATGTACAAGTTGCTGTGATTTCCCCTTAATGTGTATACTCTAAAGATATGGAGGCTTTGGGAGGCAGTGATGGAAACCTAATTCCTATTGGTAACCGTCATGTTCATTGAGGATTCTTACCCTACTTACCAAAGAGCAGTGAACTTGCCAGTGACCTTGCAGTGGCCAAGTTCAGTGTATTTGAGTTTTCCTGTTTCTTCCTCTTACCAGTTTTGTTCCTTATAGCCTAAGTGTGTTAATACACATGTTAAACATTTGCTATCAAGGAAGATGTCATATGTAGTTAGAAAGGTGTCCTTTCTTCCAGGGTTTTAGGCTCTAGTCTGTTGTTTCCAGCTCATGCTTCTGCCCTCTCATGCCTAAGCTTGGGTGGTTTGGGGCCATCGGAAAGGCTGGAAGAGGAGTGGGTGAGTGTACACCTTCAACATGGGAAGTTTGTCATAGCTGATCCTTTCCATATCTCAGAATTCGCAGAAACCCAACGGCTGTTCCTTAGTACTGCCTTCTAAACCTTGTTGAAATTGGTGTGTTAAAGCACCTGCGACTCCTCTGCAGAGTAGATGCCCTATTATTCTTAAATAAGGAAATCATTAAATTTAAGACACATCATTTCCAAGTCCAGAATCTTTTGCTACTGCACTTATGTAATGATTTGATAAAAGAATACATCCTCTATAAACATTTGGGAGAGTGATTGTGCATGATTATCTGTGAGGCTAATGATGACTTTTTGTGTAATTTCATATTTTTAAAAGGCAAAACAACATGTAGAATAAAAACTCATTAAGTTGTTAGCTCTTTATTCAAAACAGCACAAAACTTGAGGCAGTTGCTATCTCCGTGCTACCCAAAAGACCTATTGTGCATTAAAAGAAAATGTCATCAAGACAGAATGCTTTTAATTCAAGGCTTGTCCTTTTCACACTGTTTTCAAAAGGTCTTCACCTTTAAAGAATCCAATTTGCCAAATTATGGACAGCAAAGAAAAGAGGGAAATTTAGATTGTGTTAGGAGCAGGTGAGTCTCAGCATCCTGGAAGATGTGTGTGCTGTCAAATGAACTTACCACACTTGGACAGGTTCTGGTTCCATTTGGATTTTGTATTTGGGCAAACAGTTTTCTTTGTTACACTTTGAAGGGGTTGAGCTTTAAAAATAAAATAGAAAGTTCAGTTGCAACAAAATGTTAGAAACACATTTGAAATCCTGTTTTCTATGGAGGCATTTCTAGCAATAGGCTGGGCATTGCCACCTTTCAATGCCTGTTTCAACCCTGTAAGGAAATACCTCTTGCCCACAAGAAAACTGATCAAATAAGCCACTTCACCCAGGTATCTTTTGAGCTTAGCGATAAATCACTGTCAGTCACAACCCATGTAGACACCTAGGGTAGGGGAGGATGGAGAAAGAGAGGAGAGAGAGAAAGAAAGAAAGAAAAAAGAAACACACAATTGTTTAGCTCCATGGCTATGTCTTATTTCTCCGCTTCTTCTTTTGGACCAACTCTCCATTTCCTGTGTGCATTTTTCTGGATCGCTTTAGAGAACCCAGAAGCTTTCTTTATATACTACCTGCATAATTCCCCTTTGTTGAAGCTTGCATTATAGTCTTTGCACCGTACCGTGGGGCTCTTCAGTACAGAAATCAGCTCATACGATGATCTGTCCACCTAGCTCTGCTTTGGGGGCTCCAAAAGTGATTTGATCAATTGTTTTTTCTGTCAGTTGAGCACAATATGTAGCCCCAGTCCATGAGTTATGACCTGAAGGTCAAATATTCCTTCTTTCCACAGGCGCCACTTGCCCTTTTACGCCGAGCTAAAGTTGCCATGTTGTAGCTCTGGAGAGGCAGGCAAAATAAACACCGTGAACAGTTCCACACCAGACAGCCCTTGTTTTAGGAAATTTAGAGCCTAATATGTTATATACATATATGTTTGGTAGGAATCCTCAATTCCAATCTTTGATGGGCTTATACCTTTCAGGAAAGATTCAAGTCTCTGCTTCTTCCTTACCTTTCTTTACCTGCCTCATGGTGGGAAGGAATGTGTGCGCAACACCTTTGCCTGGAATGGTAAAAACTGGCACTAATGAGACTGGGGGTGGTGCACTGAAAAGAAAGCGGCTTTTGTTTTTGTTTTGTGGACACTTAAATGCTTGCCTTAGAACCAACTTTAAGCAGACTCATAGGAGGGGACAATCTTGTCTTCAATCCCTCCCTCTATGCCAGCTTCGGTTTCATGCAGGTCACGGTGGCTGACTTCTGTAAAAGGCCTATTCTTACGGAGTAGCTTCCTCAGTACCTCGTTGATTTCCTTCTTGATGCTCTGGTTCATGTAGCCATAGACATAAGGGTGGATGCAACACTGCAGGAAAAAAAGCCAGATGATTATGGTGATCGCCCACTGGGGTACCTTGGTTTGGACATCCACCCACACAGCCAGCACAGCTATGAAGCAATAGGGCCCCAGCGATATCATATAGGAGAAAATGATGAGGAAGATCACTCTGGCAGCTTTGCACTGATAGCACGGGGGCAAAGGTGGGTCGCAGTTGCTGTTTCGACGACTGGCTGGAAGGCTCTCCGGGATGTTCACTGCCTTGGCATCATCTTCACTGAAATGGGTTTCATCCATGCCAGCTTCGATGTCATCTTCGCCCAAGTCAATATTGCACTGATTGCTCTCTGTGCGGCCCCTGCTGCCTATTAGAAATTCGCTGCTGGTTCCCAGCCCCTCCGTGCTGCCATTACTGACCTCTTCACTGCCCTTGAATTCAGAAATACCTGCACGTAAATATAGGCTTCTTTCTTTGGTCTTCTTGACAATGCCACTGGCTTCCATGGGACCCTCTTCCACCTTAGCCTTGGCCTGACCTCCATCTTCGCTCTGGAACTCATTCTCATCCTGGAACTCATCCCTCTTCTTTATTCCCCGTCTATTCTCAGTCTTCACAGAGTCCTTGGCTCTTACCCCCAAGCTGCGGCTCTTGGCGTTGTTGTACAGGAGAGCATGCTGCCGACGGGCTACACCAAACACTGCAGAGTAGCAGCCAATCATAACAGCCAATGGAACAACAATGAAGGACGCCACACTGATCATGGTATAGACGGGGCTGCCTCCCCAGATCATGGAACAGAGAGCATTACGCTCATCAAAAGTAGCCTGGCCCCAGTTGTAGAGAGGAGGTGTGCTTTGCAGTATAGCCAGAAACCAGGTGCCTTGGAGGAGCTTATGAGCACGTCGGGTGGTCATCATTGATGGGTAGGAAAGAGGGTGGATGATGCACAGGTAGCGATCTACTGACACCACCATAATGGTATTGACAGTAGCGAAGGCAAATAAGTGAGTGAGGCTAACCAGGGCTGTGCAGAACTGGCTGTTGAGAGGCCAGAAGGCAGGAATGGAGGTGGCTATCACCCAGGGAGCCACGATGGTAATCTGCAGCAGGTCAGTGATCAGGAGGTTGAAGACGAACCGGTTGCTCACCTGCATTAACTGTGGCTTATGGTTTAGTACATACCCAAGCACTACATTGCCCACAAAGGATACAGCGAGGAAGGCAAACAGCACTGTGGCTCGGATGATGCCGTGAGCTAGACTAATAGGCATCTTGGAGAGGGGCATGCACGCTTGGCTGCTGTTGTCCTCTCCAGTGCTGTTGGTGCAGGTGGGTGTCATGGTGATGGTGGGCAGGCGGGAGACAAGGTGCAACTCAGTTTCTGCACCAGTGGGCAGCCAGATGCACAGACTGCACACTATCTAGGCTGAGGAGAGAAACATGTGGGAGGGTTAGTGCCCTGCAGAGACAAGCCTCTGTGCCCAGCAGCAGCGCTGCAGGGCCCCTCCCTGAGACCCCTGTGCACTCTCAACCCCAATCAGAGCAGTTTCTCCAGCTCCTTTTCTAACTCTTGGGGTCTTGCTGCCAGTCTGTCTTGCATTCTCTTCCTCTTGCTTGTCGTTCCCGTTAGTTCGGGGGGCACTCCCTCAGCCTGTCTCCTCCATGAATCTTGGAGATCTGTTCTCTTTAGATGACGCATGCACTTGCACTCTGTGTCTGCCTGCTTGTGACTCTAGATTTCTGTCTCCTGTGTTTTACTTGGGGCACTTTTCCTCTATCACAGAGTGCATGCCCCTATTTCCAGGTACTTTGTCTCATCCTTCACTCCATAGTCTTTTTTTTTTTTTCAGTTTCCCACCAGCATATACAAAGTCTGCCTATGTCTGGCTGTCCCTGTCCTCTGTCTGATATGCTGTCTCTCCCTCCCACTGTCAGCTCTCTGTCTCTCAGGCTCTGCGTCATTTTTTTTTCCACTAGGGAACTCGCTTTGTAGCTGTGTGTGTGTGTGTGTGTGTGCGCGTGTGTGTGTGTGTGTGTGTCCGCGCGCGCGTGCGTGCGCGCTCGCGCGCGCGCACGCACACCTCTTCTCCCTGGGTCTTTTTCTCTTGGTGAATTTCCCTGATCGTCCCTTTGGGCTCCTAACACACCTGTTTGGTATCTCTGACTCTCGAGTCCGGGGTTCTCTCAGACTTATGTGTCTCAAGTCTCACAAACAGAGCTCTTCCTCACATTTCTCTGGAACTCTCCTTAGTTTCCTTTACTGGGTTTCTAAGTACCAAAGTTCTGTCTTGCCACACCTGTCCCTCCTCCCTCTTGTTCCCTAACACTCTGGTTAGGGATCTAAGCTAAGCAGATTCAAACGATGTCTCTAGGTGTGTACTCTAGTGTATTCCAGTTCATCCCTGCCTTTCATTCTCAGCAACCCAGTACCATTCAGTCCAACTCTTTCTCTGCTTCTTTGAATATGCGTACATCACTATCGCTCAGCATCCTTCTCTGGGAGCCCCTCCGCCCAGTTTTCCTCTACCTGGATCTTTGTCTCCATGTACCTCTCTGCTGTCTTTATCTTGCAATGGAAACCAGTTGCCCCCTTGGCCCCCAGAGCTTTGTCAAATAAAATGCGTAGTTTCTCAGTGCGCAGTGGCGGCTGGAGCATGCAAGGTGGATACCTATTACACTACTTCATGCCGCAAATTCGCCATCCTCCCTATATTTTCCAGCCGGCTAGGAGTCTGAACCGCAGGGTGGTGGGGGTGAGAGGAGCGAGCTGGGGAGATTGAAGAATAGGTAAAGAGATAGGGGTGCGCAAGGACCGGGTCGGGGGTCTGAGAGGGAGAGCGCAGGAAACTTGGAAAGGTAGAGAGAGGGAGAGAGATTGAAGGGGAATGAGAGACACAGAGAAAGTGAGAGAGTGAATTGGAAGGAGAACCAAGAAAGAACAAATAGGATCCTTAGAGTGGGAGAGAGGGAAAAAAAGATTAAGAATGTGTGTGTGTGTGAAAGAGAGAGAGAGAGAAGGAGAGAGAGAGAGAGAGAGAGAGAGAGAGAGACAGAGAGACAGAGAGAGAGACAGAGAGAGAGACAGACAGAGAGAGAGACAGAGAGAAAGAGAGACAGAGACAGAGAGAGAGAGAGAGAGAGAGAGAGAGAGAGAGAGAGAGACAGTAGGAGACAGGGGATGGAGAAATGGGAAAAGAAAAAGCTAACCAGAATTTAAAAAGAGAGAGAGAGAGGTTTGAGAATAAAAGAATGCAGGAAGGAAACATGAAAATTAGGGAGAGGGAGAGGACGCAGGAGAAAAAGTGCCCGGGATAAGCCAGGGCACCTGGAGAGCCCTGGCGGACCTCACGCGCAACGTTATTAACCTTCTAGCCTTGGCAAAAGGGTGTCCTGGCGCTTGGGTTAGGGGATCTGTTGGGCTTGGGGACCCGCGGCGACCCAAGGGGAGCTCAACAGCTTACCTGTTGCTGCTAGAGACGTTGCGCTGCAGGAGCTGAGGACCGATCCCTCGGGGCTCACTGCTCGTCTGGCCACCTTTCGGGGCACAGGCGGCTGCAAGCTCGCACCGAGTGGAAGGAGCTGCGGGCGCGTCTGGAGCCGGGCACGGAGCTTGTGCCCGCACGTCCGGCCAGCGCGCAGCGCCGCAAGCTCTGAGCTGTGGCGGAGGCGCGCGGCTTCTTAAAGCCGCGCTGTGCCCTCACCTTGCAGCGCCCCCCCCCCCTCTGTCCCCGCCCGCGCCGGTGACGCACGAGGCCACTGAACCCAGAGGAGCGAGGCTGGTGGCAGCGACAGTGGGGCGGGAAAGGAGGGGGAATGACTCGCAATGGAGCCACACAGATTTTGTCACCCTGCATCCCATCACAAGCACTCTGAGGCTCACAGACTGAAGCTGTCACCAGGATGAGTTTTCATGTAAGCCCTAGCTCCTAGCCCTTAGCCCCTGGAATTGGGGCGAGATCACTGCTAAAGACTTTAGAGTGGGGAGACTCTAGTCTGGACCTCTGAAGACCTCCCTCCTAATACGAACTGTCCTCAGTTTCCAGAGCGGAATCGCAGCTTTGATGGCAATTATTTTTCCCTCGCTCCCATAAACAGCAGCGTCTTACCTGTAGGTTTCAGAAACATTCCATCTTGGACAAGTTGGGTAATTATTTATCCACACTATGCTTGAAGTCTGTGTGCCTGTCGGTCTCAGGCGCGCCTCACGCGCTCTCTCTCTCCTTCCTTCTCCCCCTCCCTCCCTCCCTCCCTTCTTGCCTTCCTCTCTGCTCTCAGCTCTCTGCTCTCCGCTCCATTCCTCCTTTTCCCCTTCCTCTGCCCTCTCCCTCCCTCTCTTTCACCTCCTCTCTCCTTTTTCCTCTCCCATCTCCCCTATATCATCTTCCTTTGTTTACGTAGAGGACAAAGCAAACTGGAGGTAAACCCAATCTTGTGAGATAAGTACAGCGATTACTTTCATTTCCTAAAGAGAGAAGCAGAAGCCAACTTGAATTACTCAATTTGCCCAAGTTGAAGTAAATTTCGTACCTATTTGAGTAACTAAAAACATTCTGCTCTCTTGAAATACATTCAGCATATATGCATATCGGGCCAAAGGACACACCCTCCCCCATCCCCATCTTCTCAGGATCGGGGAGAGTTTGGGAAGATGTCTTTGATGGATCAGGAATCATTTTGATTTGACTGCCTCCAAGAGAGAAAGAAGCACTTTGTAGGCAGGAGGGGAGGCAGCTGCTCTGTTATGTGGAAGTGCATGGTCCAAGATAGGGCTGCATACCAAGGTTGAGAAATACAGAAGGCTGTGGCTATGGTATCTTACAGACAGCCTGAGGGACCTTGAAGGCAAACCTGAGGACTCTGGGCTTTAACTTGACATCCGTGAACAACTGTTGAAGATCTGTTTTATTATGCGTAATTTAGAGTATACACAAGTATAGTGAGAATAATTAAGTAATTTAAATAATTAAATATTTAAATAAGCATGTTCTTATCACTCAGCCTGAATATTGACACAATAAACCATTCCTGTTCATTTTTTTTAAAGTAGGGCAATATGAGGAGGTTTCTGCTTTTCTGTGCTTTCCCAGATGCAATGCTTGCATGGGGGCAGGTGGGACACTGGGTGGAGAAAGGGCAGAAGGAAATGCTGCCATAGGAAACTCAAGAAGAGCTCAACAGGACACACAGAGGGGTCTAACAGAGTCTTCAGGAAAGAGGAAATTAGCATCGAGAAGAACAAGCAAGGGCCAGGAGGTATTAGGGATAGCACAGGATGACCACATGATTCGGAGTTGGGACAGGGAGATGTGGCTAGTGCATAGTCATGTCCCAGGATGCTCTTTGGATTTCAAGTTCAGCTTTTGCTCTTAGATCATTTGTCTTTTTCTGCTAGACCCGATTTTATCTTCCCAAGGCTGAATGGTAAAAAAAAAAAAAAAAAAAAAAAAAGTCGTTTTTCCTGGAGACAGTTTCTATGATAATTGCTCACTATTATTAATTCCCAGCCTCACATTGGCCATGGTGCAAGATCCTGGGTGGCATGCACTGTCAAGCATCAGTTGGCTTAGATTCAATTATTTTACAATTGCTTGGGAAGTGTTGCTTGCTCCAAATGGCCAGAGACAAAGTCCATTTTTTTTCTGACATTTCTTCCTCTTTATTGGGGTTCTTCAGAGTGCACTAACTTGCTGGGAACCAGAAGGAGACAAAGAGCCAACCTCTCTACTTACCTGTTTCAGGACCAGTTCATGGAGTCTACAGCTATATTCATGGGCACAGCGAGAGGTGATTCGGATGGTGTGTGTGTGTGTGTGTGTGTGTGTGTGTGTGTGTGTGTGTGTGTGTGTGTGTATGTGGTGAAAGAAGTTCAGGAGAAGTAAGGCCTTACAATGCAAGCAGCCTGCCTTGTTTGCATTATACTACAACGAGAAGGCTTCCTTAGCTAGTGGGGGCGATATTTGAAATGAACTAATAAGAGTTTGGGAAGATGACCCAAGAAGTCACAACAACAGTTTTCCCACCTTTATAATTTAATAGAAGCAAAGGTGGTATTGAGATAATGGTATTTATAGGCTTAAAGTAGAGGGCAAAATCCTTCTAGCAAGAAAGACCGAGGGCCGAACTACAGTGATAATTTGTGACACCGGTGAGCAGCATGATAGCCTCCAACTTTCCAGACAAGCAGCTCCACCTGTGTATCGGCACTCAGAACAGGGAATTTGGAAGGCCTGTGACCTGATCAGGTATTGCTTTTTATCATTGGTGATGATGATAATGATGATGATGTTTACGACAACAACAACAATAGTAATTACCGATGATTTTTTTCTGGCCTCTGTGGGTGCTGCATCCACATGGTGCACAGACACACAAGCAGGCAAAACATTCTACACAGTAAAATAAATAAATAAATAAATAAAATAAATCTGGAAAAAGAAAGAAAAAACCTGCAAAGTTGACTATTGTTGGAAAGGTGCTAAGATATGAGATGAATAATTAGTTATAATGATGGTGTGCTACAATGTCAGCCAAAGCCCTTACAGAGAGGTTAAGTCACTTATCCAAAGTGCGACTGTAAGTGTTGAAGCTAATTACTACAATCTGCTCTAGGAGACTTTGAAACCAGCATTTCCTAGACTGTTTTAAGGAGGGTTATGACAGCAGGGTTTCTCAAGACGTAGCCAATCCATTTTTTAAGATCAGGTGAAAGGGGACTAGGAACCACTGGACTTGTGGGGGCTCACAGGGAACTATGAAAAAGTTGACTTTTGTAGGGAACCAATCTAAGTTCTAAGTCATATCTTTTTCTACTTAAGAAGTTCACAATAAAGCAACAGGGGGAAATATATAGTTTTGTCCTGGATTGACTCCCATGGAAGTGTTTTAATTTTTCAATGATTTGAGCTATTTTGGTAGTATTTACTTTCAGCTAACCCCTAGGAGTTGTGGCTGCAAAAGTCAATTGAAATGAAATAGCATCTAGGTGGGAGCTAATAACTGCCCACTCTGTAGCCTGGGGAAGCACAAAGTTTGGATTTCAAAGCTATAATCTATCCAAATAAACTAGGTTGTAAGAGAAAACAAGTAGAAAAAAATCACTGTATGAATTAAAAATAAAGGCTTGATTTCTGTCTTATTTTGTGGCTAGTTTGCAATGTGACTTTGGGAAGAGTCTGCCTTTCCTGATCTCTGTTCTGCAATCCATCAAATGAAACCTGAGGGGAGATGAGTGGGGAAGACAATCCAAGGTCATCTTTAAGAACCCTATCAGTTTATGACTCAGAATTTTTACTTTTTACCTGGTATTACTAGGGATCCAAAACCTAGTCTAAGCTGATTATGTGGAAAAATCTAGAGCTACTCTCTGATTCCTGCCCTAGAAGAGTAACAGGAGCTGAACTTAGCCCTTTACCTCAAGGAACTTGAAAAATGTGCAAAACACGCAAAATAATGGTTGTCAGGCATTTGGTAGGTAACATAAGTGAGAGAATTGGTAAGCAATTACATTACAATAGTTTCTTACAAAACATGCTTCCTATGCTGAGGGAGACACAGGTTCGATTCTTATGTCCACAGATAAAGAATATAATGCCAGATGTTTTTATTACATGTATTATTATAATACATTGTAGATTAAAACCCTAGTGACACTGAAGGCCTAGCAATAGAAAATGTTTAAAATCAAACAGAGAGAGAAATGAGTTAGAAATAGCTGAGCAGAAGAGCAGCAAGGTGTGGAGCAACTTTTCATGGCTTTAATGCATGTGGAATTGGAGCCCCAGAAATAGGGAGACAAAAACAAGCATTATTTTAAGAAGTAATGGCTGAAGTTTTTCCAAATTTAATCAAAATTCTAAAATGAAATCTCCAAGAACTCCAACAAAACTCAAGTGTAAAGAATGTGGAGAAAACTAAGTTAAGACAAATCATAATGTTGAGTTTCTCCCTGACCCTTCACTATACAGCTAGTGAGGATTCAGAGAGATTCTACATCTCCACACTGCCTTTGGAATGGAAAACAGTACAACAATATTGGAAAGTAATCTCCTTAGTTTAAACAATGTTGCAAAGAAATAAAAAGGGTTGTCCTCCACAAAGATATAGACAGAAGTGTATAATACCTTCATTTGTATAGACTAAACCCTGGGAGTTTTCTTAATATGTGTCAACAGGTAACAGTATATATGTGGATGGAAGTGCTATTCAGCCAATAAGAAGAATGAATGTTTAGTAGATGGGACAGTGGATGATTATCAAAATAATGATGCTGAATGAAAGAAAGCAGACCCCAAAAATTATATATGTTGTATGATTCCTTTTATGTAAAATTCCAGAAATTTTAGCTCAAGTGTCAAAAAGTAGATCAACGATTGCTTTGGGATGAGAGACGAGAGGAAAGGAAGGAGGCTCAATTTAAAAAGCTCACGGAGAATCTTTTGGTGGTGACACAAATGTTCATCATCTTGATTGTGATGATAGTTTTATAAGAATATGCTGCTATCAACATTCATCAAATTGTACTCATTAGGTATGTACAGTCTAATTTACATATATTACACTGAAAGAAAATTTTTAAAAGATCATGAAAAATAAAACCCAAGTCAATGGTTTGCCTTCCAATGTTCTTACCGCCAGTGTAAGAACACTGGATGGCTTTCCCTAACGGAAG